ATCTCTTTGGCTTTGATCTTTTTAATAATTATATTTCTCTATTTAAACCCGTTTAATATAGAGCAAATTATTGGAAGGCTTTAAGGGCAAATCATTGCTTAAATGTAGAATGAATTTAATCAGAGATGTATGTGTCCCACTAATTGCTAGTTGTGACTAGGATCAAGTTTGGGGGGATAGAAAAAGAAAAGGAAGCTAGCTAGCTCGGAGAACCTAGCTAATAATAAGTTTAATGACTGAACAATTTGGCGTAGCTGCTTTTCCAATTATTATTTTCCTTTAATATCCTCTTTTGTGTCCTTTCAAATTGAGCTTTGACCTATAGTAGTCTAGCAATAACGGGTTTCAAAGATTCTATCTATGCATCATGAGCCTTTGTAGCTGCTTTGAACTAAGTAAATACATTATTCACAGTAACATTTCAGTTTCGGTAATGAGTGACCCCAACGCCAGTCATATATATATAGGTCAAAATCTTAATACATGCTTAATGATGAAGATATTATCAAACTTTATTAGTATACTAATACATAAATATAACTTTTATCTTTTTCCATGACATCATTTATATTATTTTATATTTGTGTATTTAAAAAAATCTTTGCGAAAAGAAATAAAGGGAAATTAAGAATATGCACACCTTTGCATTGGATCAAGTTGGAAACGAGTTGATGAAGAGCACAAGATGTGGATGTCACATTCCAAAACAGCACAATGAATTGAGGTCTCATATTGGTCGTGGGCCATAAGATAGGAGCCTTTCTTTAAATCAATCATAGGGTATGACCCTTGAAAGTGAAACGAGTACTCACCTCGCCTCACAAGCCCTTTATATGCCCACTCTGCTGCTCGCAGAATTTTGGAAAGTTTTCATTTTTCAACTCTTCAAATTAAAAAACAAAATAAAAGTTAAAGATCAGATGTGGGATTATGTACCATGTGTCTTGACACAAACTTTTGAGTTTACAATGTCATAGTCTACATGCACGCACAACTTTAAAAAAATTAATTAGAATCTTAAGATCGGTGTTACTACCACATCATGCAGCCAAATCAACTCCTTTACATAGCTCATAATATGATAGAGAATTAGAAATGAGATGACCGTGTACCATTGTTCTCTAATTAAAATACAGATTAACATATGAATGTCAATGATATTCCTTGTTCTTCTTTTTTTTGTGCATTAAGTATATTTATATAGCCCGAGATTTTTTTTTACGTGCATTAAATATATTTATATAGTCAGAGATTAATTTCTTTTAAAGTATGAAGATCATTGAAATAAGTTTTGTCTATTCTAATAAAATTTTCTTCATATAGAACTAAAAAAATAAGACTTTTATCAATATTTTCAAGAAATTCAAATTGAGCTATACGCTTTGTTGGTCGGTGATATTCTTCAACACTTATATTTATATATATATATATATATATATATATATTTTAAAAGGAGAAGAACAGATTATTAAATTTATCAGTTAGTAAATATTAATATTACAGTAAATTATATTATAACATCCTCTATGATTTGTGAGATTTTAAATTCCCTTACCTAACGTTCGCAAAGAGTCATACTTCAATATTTTTTTTAAACAATTAACGGATTAATGTAATGTTTGAATAATGTTACATACCAATAATTTTTAATAACTTAAATTTTAATTTATAATATAGAAAGTGTTAGAAGGAAAATATTAAAAGAGTTTCAATATCATTTCTCTTAAAATATAATTCATTTGGAGTCTAACGTTTGAGTTGAGATGTACTTATATAGCATATATAATCTAATTAAGAAGCAATTTTTTTATCCTATTCACTAGGCGTATTAGTTAAAAAAACAAAATATTTATCATATTGAATACAAAAATATTTAATACATTTTTAGGTAATTAAAAATATGTAAGTAAATTTATTCAATTCCCCTTGTATTGTTAATTTGTTCATTTCGGTCAAGCATGAGAAAAATATTTGATAAGCCGAAAATTGATATGCTTCTAAAAACTATTAGTTAATAGCTGATATATACTAAGTTAAATTACTAAAGTAATATATTTAATAAAATCGATTAATTGTTGAGTCAACTGATAAATTCAATCACAAAATATAATCACATTTTTATATATTTTATTTTCTTAAAAAACCTGCATGTATTGTTGTGTAATCATTATAGTTTAAAGATTTTTAGTTAAACTTTTTTTTTTGAAGGAAATAAATTCGGTATTAGAGGGTTCTCCGTAACTTTGTGCATTGTATAATCATTTTACTGTATGAATGAAATAGTGACAATTAAGCACTGAAGTAGCTTAATAAGCAGATAAAGGAAGGGAGGATTGGCTCACAAACATTCAATTGTTCATTATATTGATATTGAATTTGAACCCAAGAGGTTAGTCCATCATCTTCATGTCTGGTTTTGTCCCTATGCAGATTCATGGGTCCTCATCTCCACATTCTAACATTCAGTTTCTCCTTCGCTTAAATATCGTTTAGAACCTAGTTCAGGTCCTTCTTTAGCCCCATGATGATGTCCACGGAAAATATAATAAATGAGTATAAATATGTCAAGAAAAATGAACACGAAATAAAGGTATAACTTTTGTGTTGTTAGAGATTAATATCACACATCCTTATTATGCTTTTCTTTTTAAATTTTTTAATTTCTTTTTACCAAATAAAGTTTTGAATGTCAAGAGTTTGCTTTTTTTTTTTTTTTTTTAACTAATATCACTCATATTTAAATTCATGTGATTATTTTGTGTGAATACGTCTTTAAAGACTTCTCAATGAAAGTATTTTTACAATTCTTTCTTTAATAAAAAGATTTTAAGAATTTTTATTTCTTTTTATCTAATTCAATTTTTATTAAACATATTTATTTATAATTAAATTTTGATATTTTAAAATAAATCATTAATAATGTCATAAAATAAATTATTTTTTATAAATATAAAATATAATTTATATGTTTAAAATATTTTTATATAAATTTTAATATAATATTATAAAATTTATTTATATATAATAAACATATTAAAATATTAGTTTAAAATAAATGTATTATTACGTTTACTTGGGTACTTTAAAATAAATCTGCTTCGGAAGCCTTTGAAATTAGTGCGCCATTTAGATCCTCGTCCGCAAAGGATATGTTCAACGGCCTACAACCAATAGCCCCAAAACTAGAGTTGGGCCCAATTCCAAACCACTTTTGAATTAATGAAGGCTGATAATATATACAATTTTTTTAAAAAAATAAGTATACCTTTTTTATTTTAATTTTTAAAAAAAATCTTAAAATATTCCTAATTTTTTTTATTATTTAATTTTTTAATTTTATACCTCTAACTTTCAATTTACCTTTCTTTTTCTTTTTCGCATATCTCATTCATTTTCTTTTTAGTTTTCACATTTACTATCTTGTTTTTCTTTAATTTTTCACTTATTTCAATAGATAATTTTAGTTTTCTCGATTTTTATATTATTTTATTTTTTCCTCATCTCTTTCACTTTTTCACATGCACTCAGACCATAAAACTGGTGTGTGACGGCATTGTAAGTACATGCGACTTCCTCAATAGTTTATATCGAATTAGACACATTTTTTCTTCCAATACTTCCTCTTCTTTCATACCTTCAAAAACCTTAACATTAAATTTAGTATTATAAAAAAAAAAGGCATTCCAAAACACTAATTTCACTATTCCGAAGAACTTTTCAAGATAATGAAATTGGTGTTCCGAAAAGTATTTTTTAGAATTGTTTTTTATATATTATCGAAAATTATTTTCTAGAACAATAAATTTAGTGTTCCGAAACAGTAAACTTTTTGGAACACTAAATTTATTGTTTCGGAAAGAACTTCTTGGAATCATGTAAAATAACACACTTTTGGAAAGTGTTTTCTAGAATAGTAAAATTAATATTTCAAAAAGTTCTTTCTAGAAGTGTGTTGTTTTACATAATTTTGAAAAGTATTTTTATGGAATACTAAATTTACTTTTTCGGGAAGTACTTTTGAGAAGTATGTTAAAAATCCAATTTTGAAAAATGATTTTAGGAACATTAATTTTTCTATTTAGGAAGTACTTTTTGAAACATTAAAATTATTTGATATGTTTTCTAGACGTGTAAATGGGGAAAGTACTCAAAGAAAAAATATAAATTTGACTCGACATTTTCGACACTATCAAAAAAATCATACGCTTAAAATGTTATCGAAAACTAGTTTTACATTTTGAATATGTATGAAAACTAAAAGAAGAGAGGGAGAAAATAATAGTGAAAAAATTGAAAGAGAAGAGGAGAAGAGAGTAATGTCAAATTGAAAGAATTAAAACCTACTAATATAATTGGGGATGGAGGAAAAGTAAGGGATACATGTAAAAATTAAAAAAAGGAGGGAAGGAGATGTGTGAAAAAGAAGGCAAACTTCTACTCTCAAGATCGAATTTGATACCCTTAACTTCGGATTCCGTTTCGACCTAGACTTGGCCCAATTGAATCAAAATCTCTAAGCCATTTTTTGGGTCTAGCATCCACAAACAACACTATTTTTATGGCGTGTTAGCAATCTAACAAAGTTTGTTATAGATAGAAAAAAAATGTAATGAAGTTTGTGATTGTTTTGAGACCGGCTCTTGAAACTATTTTCATTTATCAATCACAAAATGTAGGTAGATAATGATTAATTGGATGCATGACACACTTATTTTGAAAGTCCAGTTTAATTAGTTTTCTGACAAAAATAAATAATAAAAGAATAAAAATGTCCTGAAAGAAAGGGTAGATTATGGTTGAAATGTAAGAAGAGAGTAAAGCCTCACGTGGTTTGTTTATGTTGTGTGAAATTCCTAACATAGAAAAGAAAACAAATCCCCTACTCCTACTCTTTTGGATCATCCCTACATTCCAACTTCCAATTACAATACTTGACTTTCAACGCCATGCACTCTCTCCTTTAACATTTCACGACCCATCTGAATCTGAACACATACATCATGGCACTGTTCAAGTCACCAAAAAATAGGAGGTCATCATCATCGTCATCTTACGTATCAACCTTTACAATAGTAGTCTTCATCGCACTATGTGTTTTTGGCGTCTGGACGCTATCCTCCAACTCGGTAGTGTCACCTCAAACACAGAGCGATGAAGACATCTCAACGCGAACGGCCATTGATACTTCTACCGCCACCAATGATGAACTCTCTACATCACAAGATTCCCGACCAAAACCCGAACAAAATCGAAAGGACACTACTACTGCTGCTGCTGTCTTCGGAGACAACCCTGGTCATCTACCAGATGATGCCATAAAATCTGATGATAAAAGTTCCAACAATGAGGCACAAAAGCATCAAGGTGCTGCTGCTATCAGTGACTCACAGCTTTCTGAGGAAAGCTCGTTAACGCAAAAAGAACAAGTCTCCGTGATACATGAAGCGGGTGCAGATAGTGATGTCAAGATTATTGAGCCTGAGAAAGTTCCACAAAGTGTCAATGAAGTTGAAGCTTCTGATGCAAACAAAAAGGACGAGGAAATTGCAGCGGCAAATATTGTAGAACAAAGCATGGGACAACAACAAGATGTTCAAACTGTGGACACTCAAGGGCCTAAAGTGGAAGAAGATGAAGCAAATAAAGAACAAATAAAAGAGGACAAAGGTGAGGTTGAAGTCATAAAGAAAGATGAGAAGGTAATAATACCAAATGAAGAGAAGCTAGATGTGGCACAGCAGGATTCTGATGCGGCTTCAAAGGACATAATCTCTCAGAATGAAAACCAGAAAACAAAAGCAGATAAGAAGAAGGGTGGAAAGTCTAAGAAGGAATGGTCAACACAAGCTGCTCAGTCACAGAAAGAAAAAGGGAGACAGAAGGGTGAATCAAACACTGTTGATAAACTTGAAGATCACACGTGGTTACTTTGCAATAACACTGCAGGTGCTGATTATATACCGTGTTTGGACAATGAAAAGGCTATAAAATTGTTGCGTAGCACAAAACACTATGAACACAGGGAAAGGCATTGTCCTGAGGATCCACCTACTTGCCTGGTGCCAATTCCCTCAGGTTACAAAACACCCATTGAGTGGCCTAGCAGCCGAGATAAGGTAATTTTTTATTTATACATTCATCTATCACATTTAACATATCTTCTAATAAAGTTTTGTTACATTGCACAAATATCCTTCACTTTTTTCTACCCTTACAATAACTGTCCTTTTATTATTTGAAAAATATTATGCTAACATTTAGACAGTACATTAATCTCTTGATTATCTATAAATACTACACCGTAGCTACTATAAGAAAGATTACTGCAAACGTTAAAAAAATATAGAAATGTCAAAGTAATTTCATGAAATTTTGAGGTGTTAGTATAATTTACTCTAATAGCTATATTATTGTATTTCAAAACAGATATATTACCACAATGTACCACACACGAAGCTTGCAGAGGTGAAAGGACACCAGAATTGGGTGAAGGTGACCGGAGAGTTCTTAACATTCCCTGGAGGTGGTACCCAATTCATTCATGGAGCTCTCCATTATATTGATTTTGTCCAACAGGTAATCACAACTTCAATTTCTTAACCATATATGACATTTGTTAGAACTTGATATTCAACAAGCAACATTAATTATTAGGGTTCATATGAAGGTCAAAATGTGAATTTCGTATTGATATATAATTCTAATCATAATTGCTATCAAGTAGTTTTATAATTTCACCGATGCAGGCTGAACCTAGCATTGCATGGGGAAAGCACACACGTGTGATCTTGGATGTTGGGTGTGGAGTTGGTAGTTTTGGAGGTTATCTATTTGATAGAGATGTCATTGCAATGTCTTTTGCACCTAAAGACGAGCATGAAGCACAGGTGCAATTTGCCCTTGAAAGAGGGATTCCTGCCATATCTTCTGTTATGGGTTCTCAAAGGCTGCCATTCCCTGGTCGTGTCTTTGATCTTGTACACTGTGCACGTTGTCGAGTTCCTTGGCATATAGAGGGTTGGTCTTACTAACACTTTTCTTGAACTTGGATTTTTCATTCCATATTGATTGTTCAAAATGACTCAGTTTTGCGTTTCCATGGTTACTAAGAAATGTGAAACACTTTTCTAGGTGGAAAGCTGCTTTTGGAATTGAATCGGGTTTTGCGACCAGGTGGTTATTTTGCCTGGTCTGCTACTCCTGTGTACCAGAAGCTTGAAGAAGATGTTGAGATATGGAAGGGTAGGATTACATATCATATCTTTGATTTTGAGAAGATAATAACTCAACAATTTTAACATCACTGACATATTGTTATTTTCTTCTAGAAATGACTACACTAACAAAGTCCATTTGTTGGGAGCTTGTGACTATCAACAAGGATAAACTTAATAAAGTTGGTGTCGCCGTTTACCGCAAACCCACTTCTAACGAATGCTACGAGCAAAGGGAGCAAAACGAACCTCCAATGTGTAAAGAAGATGATGATCCAAATGCTGCATGGTAAATCTCTGTTACTTGTGACATGGACAAATGCACCTTTTGACATGTTTTGTATGCTTCTTTAGGTATTTTTGGTGTTGTTTTTTCAATCAAAATCAGAGTATAAAAAAGGTTTGCATTAAATGTCAATATAGGTTACTAAAGTAAAATTTTAATTCTAATTAATTGGCGAATAACACTGACAGCATGCATTTAAGTTTTGTGCTTGATTCGAGCAGTAAAAATGCATAACAATACTTTTAATCTTGATTGGGCTAATATATTATATTTTAGGTATGTACCTCTGCAAGCATGCATACACAGGGTGCCTGTAGACAAGGCCGAGAGAGGAGCCAAATGGCCTGAAGAGTGGCCTCGTCGATTACAGAAAGCTCCATATTGGTTAAACAACTCACAGATTGGAATCTATGGAAAACCAGCTGCTCAAGATTTTGCAGCAGATAATGAACGTTGGAAAAACGTTGTGGACGAGTTGAGCAACACTGGTATAACTTGGTCTAACGTGAGAAATGTCATGGACATGCGAGCTGTCTATGGAGGGTATTGATTCAACTTGGGGTACAACTACTATACATTTTTTTATTTATTTGATATGCGATACTCAATCTTAGCCACGTGCATGCAGATTTGCAGCAGCTCTAAGGGATCTTCCTGTCTGGGTATTCAATGTGGTGAACGTAGATTCTCCGGACACACTTCCCCTCATCTATGAGAGGGGTCTTTTTGGGATATACCATGACTGGTGTGAATCCTTCAACACATATCCACGAACTTTTGATCTACTGCATGCAGATAATCTATTCTCAAAGCTAAAAGATAGGCAAGGATAGAAGTAGTGTGATCCTTCAACAATTTTCAATTATACTAGAGAAATTGCATTGTGTTGATTCATTTCTGATGTTTCGGCTCCTCAGGTGCAAACTAGTTGCTGTTATGGCAGAGGTGGATAGAATAATCAGACCGGGAGGTAAATTGATTGTCCGTGACGAATCTACCACCCTCACCGAAGTGGAAACTTTGTTAAAGTCTCTACATTGGGAGTTAATCTTCGACAAAATACAAGAGGGTATCCTCTGTGCAAAGAAAGGAAAATGGAGGCCTGATTCTGTAGCTCCGTCCTCATGAAATGATTAATGAGCAAAAACAGTAGTGGTTTAATACAAGGTGTAATTAGAAACGATGGTGTGCAGTGGCAATAACGTATGTTGGGCCTCTCATCCACCTTCTGTGGCATAAGCACAACAGTTGTCCATAAAACGTAACGCTATTATTCTATTGATTTTCATAACATGTATATCTCAGTTCTCAATATAATTAACCCGAGATACATATCACATATACGACAGAACCTATCATAGTCAAAGATGATGCACCTACCCGTAAATTTAGATTTTTAGTTGTCAATATATAACCTGTATTGTTTGTTACCTTGTTCTGTGCTTACATTCAGAACTAGTAAATTCCCACTTCAGTGAATTATTCAAAACAGAGCTATTCGGTTGAGTTCATAAGAGTGTAATTAAGTACGACAGAGCAGTTTGACCTTGGTTCATTCATAAACCCATAGTTTTCCTCTTGGAAACAATATCCCGACGTCATCATGCCATGATTTGAAATGGATTCAACAAAACAATAATTATAGAGAAATATTACTTAACTAACGATTAAACCCAAAGAAAGAAAGAAAGATCAATTCTACCAATTAGAGCTCATTCTCTCTCTCGAGATTCCTATATTTGTATATGAAGAATTCAAGCAGTTTCAAATAATCATAATAGTATGAAATTCCTCTAAAAAGCATTATGATGCTAGAAACTTGAAAACTTGAATATCCCACGATAGATGTCAGTACAGCATCAACTTGCACTGAGAAGTTTCTGCAATTCACCACTTTGGATCGCAGCACTGAGATCTGAGTTGCAAAAACAACTAGACTACGTTAATGAAAAGTAAAAACAGAATTAGAGTAGTGATAATAAGTCATAAAAGTGACAACTAATAACAAACCATCTGATCCACCAATATGCTTGCCATTCACAAAAATTTGCGGGACTGTCCTTCTACCTATTAAATCCAGAAGAACACCCTGAATTTGATACCCATCATCTACAGAAAGGGGGAAAAAAAAACATGAGCTGCGTGTGAAAAGTTTGAACAATGATAACATGTTAATCGGATAATACCTCGCAAATCGAGCTCCACCACAAAGGGTTGCTCATTCAGTTCAGCAAACATGCGTTTGGCGCGCAAACAATAGCTACAGAGAGAGAAAGAAAACCCTAATCATTGAATTTAAATGAAATGAATTTGATTAAAAAAAAAGGGGGGGAAATTAGAAGAAGGGAACGCACGGGCAATAGGATTTGGAGAAAAGGGCGATTCGGTTGGAGTAGATGACGTTTTGAACGAAAGCGGAAACTGAATTATTGGCATGGATTTGCAGAGGTTCGACCCAAAAGAGCAAAATAGCGAACGTGAACGTAACCGCTATACTCCTCATCCTTCTTCCTCAACCAATTTCTGCGTTTCCGCGTTAATTCCTACAAATTGCTCACCACGCCAAGGAATTTCTGCTATCAATTACAAATGAGGCAAAACGCAACGCAAATCCGTCGTTTTAGAATTAAGCTTAAAAGAAAACTTTTTTTTTTACTCTTTAAAGTCTTTTCCATAAATTAGTTTATAATATTTTTTGAAAAACTTTGGAGGAAACTAAGTGAAATACGAAATTAATATTAAATAATATGAATATTTAAATTTGATCACATAATCTTTCTTGCTCATTAAAAAAAAAATTCTATCTACTTTCAACTTTTCCTTGTCAGGTTGTTGCACAGAGATTAAAAAATCTTAATAAATATGTATGTTATAAAAGATTAACTTATCGTTTTTGCACTTTGATGTATTTTTTTTCCTTTTTTCGTCTTACTTTATTAAATATCCACATTATAGAAAAGATTATGGTCTCCCGTTTTCTCTTCATGCTCTGGTAATTTTATTTCTTCATTAGTTTGTTATTGATCTTCTTGAGAGAGTTTCTTTATTTTGCAACTTTGAATTTCGAGACTAAAATCTCAGTCTTTGTTTAATGTGGAGGAATAAAATAAAATGAAAGCTTTAACATTTTTATTTTCTCCTTTCTTTTGTCTTAAATATATTTTAGTCTTTTTGAATACCATAATTTTTTTTATAAAAAGTTAGATTTATTTTGATATTTTTATTTGCTATTTTTTAAAAAAAATGTTTATATATCTCTTCAAATAATATATCAAATAAAAATTCATAATGTTTTAAGGATTATATACAAAAAAAAAACTTGTGATATTTAGACAACAAATATATTAATTAAAATGATACTTACCTGATGAAATACAAAAAACTAATGAAAAGGGTAAATGAAGAAGAAAGAGTAAATGCGTGTTGAATTGCTTCACATTTTACGTTGTTGTGTTGTGTTGACTCTCGATGGGGCTTGGAGTAAAAGGTGTGTTTTGATAAGATTTGCTTTCCCTCCTTGCCATGTTAATCTCGTTCGCACTTCTTTGCTAATGAGTAAATAGAGAAGAAGGAAAGGAAAGTATAAGGAAAGAAGAATTGTGAAAAATAAAAATTGTAAAGAAAATAGAATGAGATTAAAATAAACTTATCTCATGAGAGAAAGTGTCAAGAAATGTGAAAAGTTAAGGAAGAAGGGATTGGGTAAGAAAATTTATTTTATAATAATAATATGCTTATATATTTTTTTTTATTTTTTAAACTTAAAGTAAATTTATTTTTAATCACTTAAATTTAAAATTGATATTTTTAGTTTTGTAATTTTAAAAATTATTTTTTTAGTTCATATACTCAAATTTTGCTAAAAAATTTATAAATATTATTGCATAAAATTTACATATTAGTGTTCATGTTGGTAAAAACATCACATTAAATCTAATTAATGATACATAACTATATCAATATGTCGCTTTTAAATATATTACTGGTAACCTAAATGACTAAAATAAGATTTTTTAGAATTACTATAACGACCTATTATGATTGCTTCACTTCGTGAAATCACCAATTAGCAGCAAAATTATTCACATGCTTAAGATTTTATACTTACTCTACATGAATATGCATATTATGACATGTATACAAATATAAGTGTAAATACGAACAACTTTATAAATATATACACAATCATCTAATATAAAATAGTATAGAATCATAAGTATCAGTCAAATACTATTATATAGACCATCAAAAGTAATCCAATACTACATCGTCCAAAAATGGTCCAACAACATATCCATAAAGCCCCACTCTGGCTAACTCTGTCCTGCTCCCTTGAAAATCATGATCATCATAGTTTAACCCGCATGGAAAAAAAACATACAAGAGTAAGCTAGATTTAAAAAAAATATTGGTATATGAGAAAACATTTATAATACACACCAACATATAAACCAACCAAAACACACACCTCATTGTTCACAACATTCACCAAACAACACAGTTCTAATATGTTTGAAAGCTACACACCAAGACATATCAAACAATAACATATTTGTCTAATGCATATGAACACACAAATCAATAATACATCGTATACATATACCTCAACTAATGCATCATTACTTATTCATGAGAAGTCTAAATTACTTCACCCTATCAAACCAATCCAATTGTTTTCACACTTGAAACATCAATTCAATCACAATAAAATGGGATAACAATCCCTTCTTTGGTTTCTTGGGTTTTGCTACTTACTTTATGAAGGTCTAGTTCCACCATTAGGAATAATATAGTTGGATATATGTTTACTACAACCTTGACATGCATTATCAAGTCACTTATGGATTTTGTCTATTGATTATCTTCAAGAAACCATGCAACCTTTCAAAGTACTTAGTTAAGGATTGTAACCATCGACCTCTTATCTTATTCAACCATTAACTAAGGACCTAAAAGGGACACCAACAAACCTAAAAACCTACTCCAAGAGATGTACCTACTCAAGGAGGGTTTTCCAACAATGGCCCACTCGAGCACCACTCAAGGATTCCCTAGGTGGGATCTTTAATTTTCAAAAATATTTTCATCTTCCTAAGCCCTCAGCATGTCTTAATGTCCAAAATATTCTCAACATCCACAGTCCACACCTTAACATTCATCATCTATATGCATTACTCCAAGTCAATACATATAGAGATCAAATTACATCATCATACATAGCATACCAATGTTAGACAACTTAATCATAATAGTATATCAATGCCTATCCACAACGTCAATCATGCATACTTGAGCACATTCATCATAAATAGCATTTCAATGCTAGACAACTTAATCATAATAGCATATCAATGTTTATCATCATCATACATCATACAACATGCAATAGACACAAGTATTTTATTTATGTTAACCAAATTCATTTATCATACAATATATATCAACATACTATTTGTAAAAATCAACTATCGTATTATGACAACTTTCACATAAAATATTACATAAAGAGTTATAATACTTATATCAAGCTCATCCTTATCTCATAAGAAATGCAAAAAGATTATCTACAACTCTTATAAGGACTTCAAGTTCTAATTTCATCATCTATTATACTAAAAATTATAAAAATCGCAATTGACTAATGTTGATAATTTGACCTTCACTCACTAAAAAGTCACAACTTGAGTTTTAGACATCATTTTTAGATGATTCTAAAAGCCATTGGAAAGCTAACACCCAGGACTACGACTTTTATGAAGACAACAAAGTCTAATTTGGAAAGTAATAAATTGCTTAACCATTTCAAAACCACTAAGTGGATTCCTTCTAAAGACACCCCTTATTCTTATGACACCCTCTACCCCACATACATAATACACAATAAATATAAAGTACATTCTTGAGTAAATAAAACTTTCTTAAAGATAAGGTTTCAAAACACATAGATAGAGAGTTCACATTCATATTTTGCAAATCGTAGTCCAATGCGGAAATGATGACAAAATAAAACATCAATCTTTCCAAAACACAATAACAGTAATGAAACTCCAATGCTAAACCTAGCTAAACCCCGATGTCACATATCCTATTAGAGCATGCCCTACTGAAGCCTAAGCCTCATCACCAACATCCTCATGCTGATGATCACCTACAACACAATTTAAACACATACAAAGAACAATAAGGGAGTGAGAAATATCTCACTCGGTTCCAGGTGCAGAAATAAAGGTTAGATAGCACACACACACAACAAACATAATTCACATGTAAACAATACACATACACAATCAATATCACATGCACACTCATTTATCATGCAATGATGTCATGGACTCGACTCATAAATGCATGCATGTGGCGCCATACAGAAGTTTCACATTTCTCATCATTTCATCACATAGATTGTTACATCACTGGTATGCGGCCTAAGCGGCACACCTAGAATAAGTCATTTCATCACATAGCTTGTTACATCACTGGTGACCTAAGGTACACTTTGTTAGCTTGTTACATCACTAGTGACCCTAAGGTATACCTTGTTAGCTTGTTACATCACTAGTGTGCGGCCTAAGCGGCACACCTGGAATAGATCATATATGCACATGATGCATGTCACACATTCACTATTTCATTAAATCAACATTTCACTTGTCATGAAATTTCATGTCTCATATCATCACATTTCACATTCTCATAGTCATAACTTATCTCATTTCATCACGTTTCACATTCTCATTCACATCATGTCTCATGTCTCATAGTCATAGCTTATCTCATTTCATCACGTTTCACATTCTCATTCACATCACGTCTCATGTCATTTGTTCATATTTTACATAGTCATATTCATAATTGTTCTCATAGGGTTCTGTACAGGAACCCACATAGCACTCTAATTCATATCAAAACATATCTAATTTTGAAATCAAATACATATTTACACTTTGCATCATACAAGGAACACAACAGAGCATTCAGAAAGCAAAACAGAAAACATTCATATTTTGTCTATTTCTCATAGGGTTCTCTCAAGAACCCACAAAACACTATAATTCATATAAAAACATATTTATTCTCAAAATTAATTACATATTCACACATTACATCCAACATGGAACACAACATAACAATCAGAAGACAAAACAGAAAATATTCATATTTTGTCTGTTCCTAGAAGCATGCATCAGGCAAGGGATTGGGGCCAATCCAACTACCCAACAATTACTTCCACACCCCCGAGCGAGGTTTCTCACTCCCCCTTTACCTGGATAAGCTGATCTCCTTCTCTTGGTTCTCCTTGGTCTCTAGAGAGTGTGTCCAGAAACAGTGTTAGAGTGCTCTATTTATAGATTTTAGGAGTCTCTAGAACGACCATTTTCAAATCGGAACGGCCCGTTCTGGACTCGTTTTTCATGTGTAGATTTCACATTCAGAACGTCTTGTTCCAAAACTAGAATGACCCGTTCTGAAATCACATTTTACCTACAATGACCATATCTGGAACGGCTGTTCCAAAATCGGAACAGCCCGTTCTGGCTTTGCATTTTTCTCATAAAATCGTGTGTTGGAATGGTCCGTTCCAGTCTATTCTTTATAGGCCATTTTAATAGTCTAGAACGGCCCGTTCCAGTTTGAGACGACCCGTTCTTGGCTACTAAATATCAAAATATTATCCAAAAATAATTTTCATAAATATTTATTATTAAAATACTAATAATTATTAAAAACCTTTAAAATATCCTATAAAACCCATTAAAATAACTATAAGAAAATAATCTCCATAAATATCAAAATAAATAATAATTAACCATTATACTAGTAGAAAATTCAGGATGTTACAATTCTCACCTCTAATTCCACATAGTCATTTTCTTCTAAAGACACTCATTTCCAATTCTCCTTATCCGTTTCAAAATAGCTTAATCATTTTATGACAAAGCCCATTTCTATTTTATTTTTCAATTTTGGGATTTTCAAATCTCTATATTTCATCTCAAGCTTGCCTATAAACTCCAAATTCAAATCTAAATCATAAAAACTCATCTAAACAACAATACATCAATTCTAATAACAAAACAACTCATTACAAGAATTTGGATACAAAATCAAGATTTTTTCCCCAAAAATCTCTAAGAAAATAAGAACACCAAGTCTCTCATTACAAATCATTTTAACATTCAAACAATTATGTATCAAATGAGCCTTCATACCACACATGCAACATGAAAATTCACACAACATCCACCAATATTAAGTTCTACCTCCCCTTACCTCGATTCCGAGCTCACCAAAAACGGAGAAGAGGAAGAAGAAACTTTCTGTTGACATCGCATAACTCCATGCTCACTCCAATCCACAGTCTCAATTGCTTGGACCCCTAGATGTTTGAAGCAAAATCCAACCTCCACCGCTCCCCAACAACCAAGTTTTTAATTTACTTAGTAAAGAAGAATTATGAAAAAACTTGTTTTAGCTTTATACTCAAATTTTATTAAAGAATATGTTAAATATTGTCGCATAAAATCTACTTACTAGTATCTTTATTAGTGAAAATATCATATTAAACACAACTGATACTACATAACTATCTTAATTAACTTTTAGATATATGATTGGTGACTTGAGAGACCAAAATAAAATTTTTAAAAATCATAAGCACTAAAAATAATAATTTTAAATTTAAAAAATTAAAAACAAATTTATCCTAAATTTAATGGTCTAAAAACATATTTAAGCTTATTTTAAATTTAGATAATTAAATCATTTCAAGTTTGTAGTCTAATTAAATAATGTATTTATAATTTTATATAAACAAATAATTACACATATATTTTTTTATTTTTAATATATTATAAACAATGATTTTATTTTTTAACATTATGTGGACTTTTTAATTCACTAATTTATTTTTAATATATTATTTGTCATTGGAAACAAAATTAGTATTTGTGATATATGAAGAAACAAACTATATAATAATTAGTTAAACTTAATAAATTGAAATGTAATAAAAGTTAAGTGTCAAAATAAATTATAATATTTATTTTTAAAAAACTAATTTTAATATTAAATCATTGAATAGAAAATAAAAAAAAAATATTAAAAGAAATAAAGTCACTCTTCATAATATATTAAAAATAAAAATTTATATAAAGTAAAATATATGTATAATTTCTTTATTTATATAAAATGATAAATATATTATTGAATTGAATTGCAAATTGTAAAAATGATCTAATTATCTTAATTTAAAATATTTTTATTATTTAAATTAATATTCTTTATTTTTATTAATTACATTAAGAACTAAAAATATAACTAAATTAAAAGCAAGGAAAAATTATTTAAAAGTATCAAAGATCTAAAAAAAATTGTAAGAACTAAAATGCACATTGACATAATGTGAAACTTAAGAATTAAAACACATTTAAGTGAAATTCTTTTTTTTTTAAGAACATCCTATCATCCGGGTAGAGTAGAGTCTCGACTCTTGAGAAATCCAAATGCACCTTTCAACATAATTTTTTTAATACATTTTTATTATTTATTGAAATTTATAAAAGTATAAATGAGATTCAATAATTTGGAATTTTAAAAAATTTTATAATCTTTAATAAATTTTAATTAACAAAGGAAAAAGTATAGAAACGAGAGTGAAAAGAAGAAGTGAATAGGCTTCGTTTGCTAAATGGGTTAACCGAGAATTGTAATGCAATTGCTAGTCAAACTGGTAGGAAAAAGAGTAAGAAAGTCGCTGTTGATGGAAGGAACCTTCTCATAACCACACAGGAAAGAAGAGGAACACAAACCCCTCATTTGCAGAAGATCCAGTCTCCTCCTCTTGTCGGGAGAAGCAACAAAGGATGGCCGAGGTTGCCGTGTCAACGGTTGTTACCAAGCTGACGGAGCTGCTGGTGGAGCAAGCAAGGGCGGCGGTTTCGCAGCTTGTGGGGGTAAGGGAGCAAGTTGAGGGCTTGAAGAACGAATTGGGGTGGATGCAGAGTTTCCTGAGAGATGCTGATGCCAAACAAGAAGGCAACGAACGTGTTCGCATGTGGGTGTCAGAAATCAGAGACGTGGCTTTCGAAGCGGAGGAGCTCATAGAAACCTACGTGTACAAGACAACCATGCAGAACGGTTTAGATCAGATGTTCAGACAATTACATATGTACAAGGTGAGAACGAGGATAGGCAAGATCTTGTCCAGGATCAAGAGTATATCCGACAGGCGCGAAACGTACGGTGTTGTAATGACCCGTGATGATGGCAGCGGCAGCGGCAGCAATGAGAGGTTGAGGCACTGGAGACAGCCCTTGCCTTATTCTGAAGAAGACTATGTTATTGAGCTTGAAGATGACATGGGGTTGCTCCTTTCCCAGTTGCTTTCTGTGGAGCCAACGCCCCATGTGGTTTCTATTGTTGGAATGGGTGGTTTGGGGAAAACCACTTTGGCCAAGAAGCTTTACAATTACACCAAGATCACCAACCATTTTGAGTACAAGGCGTGGGTTTATGTCTCTAAAGAGTACAGTAGGAGGGAGGTTCTGCAAGGGATTCTCAGGGATGTGGATGCTCTCACCAGAGATGAGATGCAGAGAGCAGCAATACCTGAGGAAGAGTTGGTCAAGAAGCTGCGATATGTGTTGGGTGAGAAAAGGTACTTGGTCGTGTTAGATGACATTTGGGGGATGGAGGTTTGGGATGCTTTGAAATCTGCCTTTCCCAGAGGGAAGATGGGAAGTAAGATATTGCTTACCACCAGGAACTGGGAAGTTGCTTTACATGCTGATGCCAGTAGCAATCCTCATCAGTTGAGGCCCTTGACAGAAGATGAGAGTTTCAGGTTGCTCTGCAACAAAGCGTTCCCGGGAGCGAATAACATCCCTTTAGATTTGGAGAATCTTGCCAAGGATATTGTGGTCAGATGTGGAGGTTTGCCTTTGGCTGTGGTGGTGGTTGGTGGTTTGCTGTCTAGGAAACTCAAGTCAAGTGGGGAGTGGAAAAGGGTGCTACAGAATATTAGCTGGCACTTACTAGAAGAGCAAGAGAAGATAGCAAGAATTTTGGCCTTAAGCTACAATGACTTGCCTTCACATTTGAAGTCATGCTTTCTGTATTTGGGTCTTTTCCCGGAGGGTTTGAACATTCAGACAAAAAAATTGATCAGACTTTGGGTAGCGGAGGGGTTTCTACCACAAGAAGGAGAAGAAACTCCAGAAGGTGTTGCTCAGAAGTGCTTAAATGAGTTGATTGGTAGGTGTATGATTCAAGTGGGAACAGTAAGCTCATTGGGAAGAGTCAAAACAATTCGCATCCACCATCTTCTTAGAGATCTTTCACTCTCTAAAGGAAAAGAGGAGTACTTTCTCACAATATTTCAAGGTGATGTGGCAGGTCCATCAACTAAATCCCGACGCCATTCGATACATTCTTGCCATGACAGGTATGACTCCTTAAAATACAATGCTGATCGTTCCCGTTCCCTGCTTTTCTTCAACAGAGAATATAATGAAGATATAGTGAGGAAACTCTGGCTTCCTTTGAATTTTCAGCAAGAAAAGAAATTGAATTTCATCTACAGGAAATTTAAGCTACTCAGGGTATTAGAATTAGATGGCGTTCGGGTAGTTAGCTTGCCTAGCACGATAGGGGATTTGATTCAATTGAGGTATCTTGGATTGAGGAAGACAAATCTAGAAGCAGAACTTCCACCTTCCGTTGGGAACTTGCTAAACCTACAGACACTTGATTTAAGGTATTGTTGTTTTTTGAAGAGAATACCAAATGTAATTTGGAAGATGGTGAACTTGAGACATCTGCTCCTGTACACTCCATTTGATCCTCCAGATAGCAGCCATCTACGGTTGGATACATTAACCAATCTACAAACCCTACCTCACATTGAGGCTGGAAACTGGATAGATGGTGGTTTAGCAAAAATGACCAACCTCAGGCAATTGGGGATCTGTGAATTATCAGGACAAATGGTGAATTCTGTACTTTCTACTGTACAAGGATTACACAACCTTCATTCACTGTCACTATCACTTCAATCTGAAGAGGATGAATTTCCAATCTTTATGCAGTTGTCTCAGTGTTTTCATCTTCAGAAGCTCACTTTAAATGGAAAGATCAAGAAACTACCTGATCCACACGAGTTTCCACCAAACCTATTAAAACTGACTCTACATAACTCCCACCTACCAAAGGAGTCTTTTGCCAAGCTGGAGAGATTGCCAAACCTTAAAACGCTCATTTTGGGTAAAGGGGCATACAATTGGCCGAAACTGAACTTCAACGCTGAAGGGTTTCCACAGTTGCATATTTTGCGACTTGTTTTGAAAGAATTGGAGGAGTGGACAGTTGAAGGAAGTGCGATGCCAAGACTTGAGATCATGGTTATTGATCGCTGTGAGAAACTGAAAAAGATTCCAGAAGGACTGAAAGCTATCACTTCTCTGAATAAGTTAAAAATTGTAGGAATGCCAGTCGAATTCGAACATAGGCTTCGGACGTTCGAGTTCACAAATACTCCAGTAATTGAATCAACCACAGACATTTTGGCAATTGGTAAGCTACTTTTTTCACCAATCTGATATAACATTTGATATAAAGTACATTGTATGTAAAGACAAGAATTTAGAAAACTTATTTTCATCATTGCATATCATACTGCAGATTGATTGCTGGCACAATGTTGGTGTGTGATACATGCTTTCATCTATGGAATGGAAGCATTTCTGAGTTCTGGTTCCATTGTTCAGCATACCTGCTTCAATTTATTGTTGACAATGTACATACTGCTTGATAAAGTTTCAAGCACCAACAGGTCTTTCCACTTTTATGCACGCAGGAACTTGATCCCTTTCAATAATTGGGAATGAGTTCCAATAACTAATTGTGAATGCAATAATACGTGGAACTTGTGTGAGCTATGGCAAATTCAACAGGCACCTTTTCCTCACAAACGGAGACCTCAATTACACATGAATGGCCAAGATTTATTCCATTTTTTTTTTAAATTTCTAATTTAATTTTTATGTGGCCAGAAAAGGGTCCTGGAAATTCATTATTGTCCTGTATTTTGTTTCTTTCCCATTTGTTTGATTCCAACTCAATCGAACACATACAAAGTTTTGCAATACCTAGTAGAATATATCTTGCAATCCTTTTTCGTTTACAGCAAATGTTGATGCGGTAGAAAGATCTTCATTCTTATGCGATGCCAACACTTGTCACAGCAACTACACGAAAAAGGAAGAAAGAAAGAACTACTTACTCAGTAAGTAATCAAGTAAGTTGTGTACCTCATTCGAAACTACTCCTTTTCTCGCGCATAAGGAGTGCTTAATTGCGCTTGGAACCATAAATGATTTGATTTTAGAATCCTAATTAGGAGATGGGGGAAATGTGATACCTATAACGATTGATTATTTTTATTAGTTTTTCTAGAGTTTTTAATAGATAAAATATTATTTTTGAGAGTAAAAAAAATTAAAACAGAATCAACTTAATTTGCATATGAAAATAAATTTAAAACAGTTTATACTAATTGATTTATTTAAATATATGTATATGTATGTTTTTTAAAAAAAATTGAGTCTCGTGGAATCATTTTTAAGTTATGTTTTACATGCAAAAAAAGAAGAAAAAAAAAAACTGCGGCGTTTCATTTAATATAAAAAAAAAACAGTTTAAAATAAAAATGTAGTTCAATAAAAAAAATTATTTGAATTTATTTTTTTCCACATGAACAATTAATTCAAATTTCAAGACTGACCCTGAAACATCTAATTACATAATTTAATCTAAACACACAACAACGCTATCAAAAGGATATTCATGGCACATCACGACACATCAATCGACTTTTTCTCCTATTTTTAATGCGGTAAAGAAAGGAAAGAAAAATAAAATGTAGGTGCAAATTGACTCGTGCCACATGACAATGAATCATCAGGAGTTAATTTTTCTGCAGTTCTTTCTGATCTCTCCCCTTGATCCAGTTAAAGGAGTAATGTTTCCCATCTTAACCATGGACTTGGCAAATTGTTCAAAGAAAAGATCGTTTCTCTCTGCATACTTCTTCACTAAATCTGCAGATATTTGATTCTTTGTCAAAAGAACTTCGTCAGAGTTTAACAGACCCTTGTTAGCCAACAAGTTCTTGTAGTAGAAGTTGTCAAATTTAATTGGGGTGACAAAGTCTAGGACAAACAGATTCTGGTCTCCACCAGATCTTGGACAACGAGTTCGCAATTGAGCAGCATACTTTTGATCTAGAGTGAAGTCTGATTTTCCATTGCCTGTTTGGTTGTACAGTCTCTGCCTGAAGCTCGTGCATCGAGAATCTCCTATAGTGTGGCTCCCTATAACATTACATTTACAAAATTTAAATGTGGATGGTGTAATCATGTTTTTTGCAAGCTTACATAGTTCCACTATATTTTGCAAGAACTTCATTTTGCAAAATCTGTGCATGTTTCATTACATTGAAATGAAATTAACGCATAGTTCAAAAACTAAACTTGATTTTTTTAAATAAGATCTTGAGTTCTATCAAGCAGATAAATACTTTGCTTTAATATCATAGTTACAACAAAAATTTAAGTTTGTCCTAAAAGTACATTTAACTATAAAAAAAATGTGATTATTGTGTTTAGTTGAAAATTTTATACTAAAGTTTACTGTAAACTTATGAAATATTATATATTATTTTGATTCAAACTCAGTTTTAACCAAAATTTTGTAAAATCAATATCATCTAAGATTAAGTTTGTAAAGACTCATCTAAACAAACTATAACCATAAACCAAACATGTTTAGAAGGCTAGAAACAGATAAGTACTAGGAGTGTACCAGATAGAGCAACTAGATCAACAATATCAAGCCCCTTAAGCTTGAACTTTGTTAAAATGGTCTGGAATGTGTTGTTGGGAGCAGGAATGTTGTTAT